GGACTACACAGGGAAAACAGGACTGAACACAGAAGAACTCAAAAATAAACACACAGAAACACAGATCACGACACTTATATTTCATCAGAGGCACTGTGATGGCCAAATCCATGGCCACACTCTGAAGTCGGTAACCCTTTTATGCAGTTTATTTTTTCATTCAAACACAACACTTTAGTTTAAGTAAAACATTTATTAGTTGATTTGGATACATTTGTTCTTTATGTTAGCGCGCACATTTAGTTAACATGTGTATTTATATCAACTTTAAAGTATTATTTGCTTGCTTAAGATTAACTTTGTTTTCTTTTGCCGGTGCTTACCTGCCTTGGAGTGGCCAGACAGGAGATGGGGTCCAGGGCTCAGCAGGCATAGGTGCTAATTGGACTGCACCACTAGTTCCTGCTGGCAGGGGAAATTTGTAATTTCTTTATTTAGATAAGTTTTGTATTTAAGTAAATAGTAGTATTTAAACTTTAATATTTTTGATTTTCATTTTTTTGGGTTTTAGTTTAGCCAAACTTAGCTGTACTGTTAGTTGTTTGTGTTATTTGTAATTGTATTCTGTTTAGTTATCCCTATTGTGTCTTAATTGGTCTGATCAGCCAGTATATAAACCCCTGTGTGTCATTTCTTTGTTAGGTCAGTTATGTTTGTTTGTGCAGCCAGTTTGTTTACACTTTTTGCCTGAGTTCAGTTTTGTTTCTTTGACCTCTTTTATGAGCTCAGTTTATCTTGTCATTTATAATCTTTGGGTTAAAATAAAAAACCCTATTTTTCTACTTAATATCCTGTGACTCCTTCTGTTTTTTAACTCGGTCCATCACAGGCACTATATAAACTATATTGCCAAAAATATTTGCCCGCCCATCCAAATTATTTGAGTCAGGTGTTCTGATCACTTCCATGATCCAGGTGTATAAAATGAAGCACCTAGGTATGCAGACTGTTTTACAAACATTTGTGAATGAATAAGTCGCTCTCAGGATCTCAGGTAATTCCACCATTGAACTGTGATAGGATGCCACAAATCGAGTCATGAAATTTTCTTGCTCTTAAATATTCCACACTCAACTGTCAGAAAACTAAGAAAATGTGCAATGTGCTGCAAGAAAATGGAAGTGCTTAGGAACGACAGCAACTCAGCCACAAAGTGGTAGGCCATGTAAATTAACGGTGTCGGGTCAGTGGATGCTGAAGCAAATGGCATGAAGTCGCCAAGAAGTGATTGACTTCTGCAGAGTCAATCACTACAAACCTCCAAACTTCACGTGGCTGTCAGATTACCTATAGAACAGAGAGCTTCTTATAATGGGTTTCCATGGTGGAGCAGCTGCATCCAAGATATACATCACCAAGTTCAATGCAAAGCGTTGGCTGCAGTGGTATAACACACACTGCCACTGGACTCTAGAGCAGTGGAGGCGCGTTGTCTGGAGTGACCAAACACGGTTTTTCATCAGACAATCTGATGGACGAGTCTGGGTTTGACGATCCATGTCTGACTGTATTGTGCCAAGTGTAAAGTTTGGGGAAATCCATGCTCCCAATTTTGTGGGAACGGTTTGGAGTTTGCCCCCCTTTTTTTCCCCAACATGTCTGCTTTGATGAAAGGGGGGAAAAGAAAAGGGTGTGGATGAACCTGACTGGCTCATCCACTTTGCAAACCCGACTAGCCTGCAGAGTCCTGACCTCCACCCAATAAAACACCTTTGGGATGAATTAGAGCTAAGACTGAGAGCCAGGCCTTCTCTGGCCTGGCTCTCAAAAATATAATTGCAGGATTTAATTTTAGGTTTCATCAGAATAAAGGTTAAATCTATTAATACACTTTTTTTTATTAATGCACTTCTGTAAGAAGAAATCCCCATAAACTCTCATAACCCTTGTGGACAGCCTTCCCAGAAGAGTTGAAGCTGTTCTACATCTAAAGGGTGAACCAACATCATATTGACCCTATGGATTAGGAATGGGATGTCATTTAAGCTCATATCTGAATGAGGGCAGGTGAGGAAATAATTTTGGCAATATAGTGTATAATATGCGTTATAAATTCAATTTTTATCTTTTAGATAACAGAATAGAGAATATAGTTTGGAAACTCAAACTTTTTTCCATAATCAGTTTTCTTTTATCCCATATTTCTTAAGACCTGGATAAACAAATCAAATTCCATTTGTTTCATCACTGGGTAGGAGAATTAGCCAGTTTTCCAAGGGAGATCCTGATGGGGGTTAAAACCCAGTCCAACAAAGCCTCTATGGTCTTATAGAACGGTTTTCATTATGCCTGTTTTGCTTCAACATTTGAAGGTGTGGATGTGTTTTGTAGCCTAATTAAAGTTTTTTTTTTTCACAAAATCAAATTTTCTATTTTTTGGAACGTATTAGAGTACTTTTGTATAAAACAAAAAATAAATTGTTTTGAGGAAAATGACAAAAAAATGGCAGGATTTAATTTTAGGTTTCATCAGAATAAAGGTTAAATCTATTAAATTCTTGTAGACTTCATGTTTCTTTGAAGGTATCTATACCTGGTGTCAACTACAATAAATCTTTAAGGATCTCTTGTTCCACCATTTCTGTAGAAGAATATCTCTTACTGCTCTGCAGAAGGTCAGCCAGGTCATCCAGATTCATCATTCTCAAGAAGTCAACGGTGATCTTTAAAAACGCCTCTCTGCTGCTGCTGCTCCTCTGCTTCTCATCCTTATTTCCAGACACACCCTCCTCCTCCTCCTCATCTGGATAATCTGAACTCAAGACCTTCTGGATCTCCTTCAGCTCGTCCTTCACAAACATAACAATCTTTTTCTCCAGTTCCTAAAGCAGAATAAGACATGAAACACCCCTCTGAAAAGGTCTGAGACAATCAAGTGATCTATAAAATGAAGCAAAAAATTTATTAACAGAAGAGATTTAAAAAGTAGTATTTAATATATACAGACCACAAATATGGAGCCCAGTCGCATTTGAGACTCATGTGGAGGCTGAACAACGTCTGGGCTCTGATCGGATCTATGGAGAAAGTGTAGTGCGTTGAGAAACAGTAAAAAAAATAAAATAAAAAAAAGATGAATACACCCCTTTTTCAATCAGAATTGATCTTGTCTTTTGTTTTGTTTTTATTATTATTGTTCATACACGTATTTGTCAGGTGCATGTGTCTTGCCAGTGGGGGCGCTCTCGTGCCACGGTGGGTCTAACAGGGAGAACAAGTCTCTTGGCTCTGGGCATGCGCGGCTCAGAATAAACGAGCTCTTGCCAGAGATACATTGTTACGACTCGTTTCCTCTGTGATCCACAGGTAGTATGAACGGCAACTTTTTATGGGCCATTTGAAATGTTCTGTGGGTCTATGACGATTGGTCAATGTTGTGTTTGTATTTCGTAGTGTTGTGGTGTTTTTGTTACTCTTGAGGACGTACTTATTTGTGGTGGGCTTGATCTTTTTTTATAACCTCTGCAACGGTTATAACAGCCCAACGTTAATGTTTAGGAACCGTTATAACTGACGGACGTTGGTGTTTACTGTGTGTTAGAAGGAGGAGCGTTATTTTTTTTTTGTTTGATTATTTTAATTTAGGATTAGATTTTCTTCATTTTTTGCTATGTTATTTTATTTGTGAATTTTGTTTTATTTTATTTCTTTGTGGTAACTCTGGATGTCGATAGAATTTGAACTGTATTGTAATTGT